TGTCCTCAAAAAATTCATAAACATGCTCCATTTTTCGATCCATCCTAGGTTGGCGTTCCCTCTTAAAGAGGGAAGTGGTAGTGACCATTACAGTGGTAGTGTCTCCATTTATACCGGGCGACGCAAAGAAAGAAAGAACGCCAGGCGATCGTGTATCCTCGATAACGTAATTTCGACGGACAGCCAGGTGTATGGAGAAGTCGGTCGGTCCAATCTGGTCGAACCTGCGACCGGTGAAAGGCCAGGAAAGGCCTGGTCCGTCTCACGGAGCGTCGACTGAGGCGTCGTTACCTTTTATTCCTCGTCGATGGATCCAGAAGAGAACGAGAAACGTCCACACGCACACGAAGAGAAAGGAGGAGAAAGAGGCTTTCGCGAACGTCACGCGAGACGATAGTTTTGCCGGGTGGCGGTTGTATCGCGCGGAGGCGCATTAGCAGGAAATGAATGATCGCGGACCATCCCGAATCCATTATCGCCGATCCATTGTTCCCCGAGGCCGGCGATTAAGCGCGAGTTACCGCCAGACGAACGTCTGGGGTTTTCCAAGGATCATCGACGCGAAGTCGAGCTACCATCCAGACGACGTGTCGTCGAATCACGACGTTTCATCGGTCGGTAAACGCTCCCCATTAAACGCTCGCGCCGATTGATCATCGTCGCAGGACGAAAGTTGATGAACGCAAGACTCGTGGCATCGACGAGAGTTATGGTTGCAGCTTTGGTGCTGAATCGGGTGGACGATGTTCGTTGCTACCAGGTTCTGCTGTTGCTGGTATCCTTTATACAGGATGTCCCAAAACTCACGTAGGAGCCGGGAATGGGGGTAGACGATTCCGAACATTCATTTTTGTATTCTTAACGAAAAACAGTGGCCAATCACAGCGCCCGATTAGCGCGCGATCAGTCGCGAGAGTATAAGCTCGAGGTACCCCTATTTCCGGCTCCTACGCGAGTTTTGGGACACCCTGTATATTATATATTTTGTTGGAACGGTTCTCCACTGAGAGGTTTGATTTTAAATGATTATGAAAACATGCATCTTTATTTTAACCGTTGACGCTTCGAGTGTGCTTCACGGACAGCACCGATGCACGGCGTTCTATTCCAAGTGGACTCTTATAAGCCAAGAGTCTTACACACTATTCACGTTAAACCTATAAAAAAGTGAAAAACTATATTGGGTTTATTGTAGTTTAAAATCTGACACTTGAAAACTTGCAAGTAAACGTGTGACGAGCGGTCGATATTCACAATTAATGAAAGTCTCAATTAATAAAACTCTGTTATCATGTGAGACACAATAACTGGCAAATGGCCACCTTAGAGTTTCTCATACCTGCATTCCGAGAAAGACACCGCTATTATCGTCTTCAAGTGCTCGAATTGTTCGTGGATCATTGACGAGACTTTCTTTTCGTAACCCTTTCTAATTTCGAATACTCAAATATTAAATTTTCCTTAATACTATGTTCCTATAATTATCATAATTATCAAATGCGCCTATCTCTTAGGAGAACAACAATAAGTGAAATTTGCTGGCTACCGAACTCCATACATATAGATACATTCTAGAAATATTCATTGTAGAGATGGATTCATGGAGATTAGGGCGATGACGTGAATGGTTGGTATTTAAATCTAACAAAATGACAAGTAAATATTTCTACTCAACTTAAAGTTATAAATGAATAAATATTAATCCACAGAATTAATTTCTACACCTAATGTTAATATAATATAAACTATTACGATATAATAGTAAGAATGGTAGTATAATGAAATTCGAGAAAAAACGGACGAGACACAAAATGGGCCAACGAAATCCTCATCTCGCAGCCCGCAGATACACGAAGAAAAATTTCTCTGCCATAACAATTACGTTTGCTCTTGCGCTTCTCTGACCGCTTTTATGTATCCGAGCAACGACTCGTGACGTAATCAGATGTACGAATCGTGGTTGCGTAATAATTACAATGTGCGTGGACGATATGTAACGAAAAAGAAAAAAACAGAAAAAAAACAAAACGAGAAGAAAATGAGGAGGATGAAATTGAGCATTCCCGGAAGATTCATGTTTCGGAATTTCGAGGCAGCTGTGCCATGTTTATTAATGTATTACGTGTTTTCATGGACATGGACGAAATAGATCTCGTCTGGAATTCGAGACTGACATGTCCATTGTTATCGTCAGGAATATAAAATGTCCGTCACAGGAGAATTTGTTTAATTAAACTTCTACCATTGCGTGTTTTCATTGTTTTCCCTTCTTCTGTCTCATTATTAAATTCAACGCGTGTTGATGTATTCGACTTGTAATGTTTCTTTATTAAATTTTTATAAATTATTACAACGTTTCTTTTCTCAGAAATAAGTAAATGTAAGTTCTCTGTATTTCCGTTTTATTATTTGTTATTTTTGAAAGAAACGAATAAGTATAATTAATTACAGTTTAATTACGAGGGATACTCCATTAAAGGAAGTGCAGAAAATTGGGGGTTTTTAAAATATGAAATTACCATAAAACTGAAATGGAGATATCTCATCGGAATTTTAATTAGCATAAAATGCTCGTAGTTCAAGGGACTTACAAAACATAGCGAAGGTCAGTCCTGGTTTGTCCTAATTACATCGTTTCCCATCCGTAACGCAAATGACCCGTTTAATTAATTACTAGCGGAAACCGTCGATGCCTGCATCGAAAGTGAAGAGAAAGCCCGTTTAGTGCGATCACTGTGTAACTCACTGTAGTCTGCAAAATGAAGGTACGAAGAATTTTTTCTTCTCCACCATTCTCCCATAACGAATGAACGTCATAATAAACATGAGTTCAGTGCCCGTAGAACGTGTTATTTGCATGATATCATCCCAAAGATTCAAAATAGAGAGGTATTATGTGAAAGGTTCTCAGGAACTGAAAGATTACAATAAAATCAAGAAAGAGTTCGCGTCTGCATAATATTGAAGTGGAGAGGTGTGCTGTTCTGTTTTTAATTAATAGCAACGATTGAATCATTAGAAACTTAATAATGACAATAGATATTATTTTATTGGATATGTTCACATGAGATCCCTTTTTATTTTAACAACAAACAAATTGACCAGGACACTCGAAAATTTTAGACAACCTTCTGTATATATCCATAAATAAAAGTACTAAGTTTTAAAAGTTTATGTTAAGCATTTCGTCTGCAAAAAAATTATGAAGATTGCTTGGAAACTGATTAAAAGAATGAGTAACCTTTGCATTCAAAAATTCGATGCACTTCAGGCAATGCAATATCTACCATCACCATTGTTATTGTACGCACTCCTGGTACTTTGCATCATATCCAGCAGAATCCCACGAAAGATATTAATTTTTGGAATAATTTTTGCATACGCCGAGAATCATTCCTCAGGAATCGTTTTGAAGTCGGTTCCCATGGCTTTGACGCTGTTCCACGAAGTTGCACAAAATACATGTGTCTGAAACCTTCGAGACATCTCCGCCCACGCACGGTTTCCCGCGCAGAAATAATCTCTAGCGCGCGTCTAACGCGTCAACTCTGTCGACCTCGTTCGAACGGAATCTCCCTGTCGGCCATCTCCGAGCTAAACATTCTCTAAGCATCGGGAGATTATCATTCCAATGAATCATCAGCGCTTCCTCCAGGCAACGAGGTCGGCGAATTTCCTCACCGTCGGCCCCAGATTTTGACAAAACAATCGTCAACGCTCGCACGACCCTGTAACCCAGACGATCACCGCGAGGATTCACGATCGCCAGCCGAGATTACCGCTAACCAGCCTCTCACTTTTCGTGGACTTGGTGCAATAACGTGACGTTTATTTCAACTGGACTGATTTACCCTTTGCACTCGAGAGGGCAACTTTCAGACGCCGTTTCTGTTTGGTAACTTAAATGGCTAGTACACCTCGCTATTATGTACATTTGTATCCGTCTTGAATCATAATCTAGAATACTAAAAGGTACTTACTAAATCCTTTAGCTGCTCACGTTTGTTACATATCATCCAGAACCTGACGCAGTTCAAATAATAAACATCTAATGAAAAAACTACTCCTGCAACCTCAGGGTAAAGTTTTCAAAGTATATGTCAAGAAGTGTAACCTCCTGCACCACTGGACACCAACCCACTGAAACATTAACACATTGACTACTTGACGAATATTCTTGAAAATGTCTTCTAGGAGTCAATATTATCTAGACTATCAAAGACTACATAATCAAACATCTATCGTAGTATTAATTCTTGTAACTTCGAAAGTATACGTCAAGAAGTGTAATCTCCTGCACCACTGGACACCAACCCACTGAAACGTTAACACATTGACTACTTGACGAATATTCTTGAAAATGTCTTCTAAGATTCAATATTATTCAGACTATCAAAGACTACATAATCAAACGTCTGTCGTAGTATTAATTCTTGTAACTTCCTCGAAATTTATAAATTTCATTTAAATCCACTTCCTTCGATGCTTAACTATCGGAATTAATTTTTTAGCAGTGAAAAGCACCGCGACGATCAACGTGTTGATAAAACAATCAGTTCAACTAAATGTCCCTAGATCAACACGCCGAAAAATGACCGCAGACCAAACGTTCTTCGTGCCCTAAAGGACACGCGCTGAAAACGTTTTGAAAAATTAGAGATGACTAGATAAGACCTTTATACCCAAGGAGGACAGCACCGCGTACGTTTACAAACGGACAATGGGTAGTGTCGCAAATAGGGAGATCTTAAGGCAACATGTTGAGCCCGGAGCTCGGATTGTTACATCGTTACAAGGAGAAAGAAAATCCCCTCCCTCCCCGAGGGGTAGGGCATCGAGGTGCACATGCATCGAGAAGGTGGGATTTTTGTTGCAATGGTGGTGGGCTCGAAAGTTGGGTGTTATGAACGGCAGAAGACGAACCGGGTAGTTAAGAGGGGCGGAAGGGCGGGGATCGGCGAAGAAAGGCAAGTGCTATAAAAGAGGCAACGGTCCGGACGATGGGCATCAAACACCTCAACATGAAGGTACGTGGCAACAGCCGTGCGCGAGCCCGGTGTATATTCGCAACGGAGTTCTCTACTCGCCTCTCAACTTGCAACACGGACTATACACGCGATCTTTTCGGTTACAGGTGTTCGCGATTACCGTCTTCCTGGCGCTCGTAGCCACCACCTACGGTGAGTACCATGTCACGCGTGCACCGCGATCTTCGATCGGCTGTGAAACACGTAACCGGTGTACTCGGGGAAACGCGTCCCTTCGTGAAGTGCGCGTCGCGGTGAAACCCTCCCGGAGGGTAGACTTTGATTTCTACCAGGTGGATCGGTCGTAAAGGACTTTGACAGAGGTCTACTGCTGGGTTTCGTTAACTTCGAGTTTCCTTCGAGGGGGACCATAGATATATTATAAATAGAGCAGGTCAGACACGGGTCTGTAAGTGGAAATGTTATTTTATAAGTGGAAATTATAACGTTAGAAAGAGAAAAAAAATAGCGATATCCTATCGGTGTGCTTTTGTTTAGGTGAATGTAAAATATATACAGGTAGTCTCGTAAATATCCTCTATGTCAATTAGAGAAGTTTGTCTAAATTAAATAATAGGTTCGATGTTTTCAAATATACGCTTCGTTATAAATATGTGGATGGATAAACTTTACGCTTATATATTTGTATATAAGGAAAAATTGATTTGGAAACATCACACCCATCATTTAATTTAGACAAATTTCTTCAGTGAACACAGAGGGTACGTGCTAGAACCAACAGGATGCAAACGATACGCAAGAATATAAAAAGAATTGAAAGTAAAGTTCGTGTTATAATATTTGCAGAATAAAATAAATTCCTATTTAGGTTCAATTTTTGTGGGCACATAAAAATTATCTAAAAATGTTATAGTAGACAGAGATAGGTAGGGTACCGCGGCTTTCTTTCTCTTGTTAGCCGCAGTACGACAGGAGGTCTGCTTCCCCTACTCTATTAGTAATAAGTCTTTCTTTCTATTGTCGATCGTTCCACCCAGTGCGTGGCCTAATAGGATTTTCCGCGGATGCAATAGTAGTCGCGCGTTAATCGATTCCGGCGCTGTCTCGATTGCTGGTCGGATCGGTCACGTCAAATTGATTATGCGATGGTTCGTGCGCGGATTACTTAGTCAGGGGAAATGCGTCGAAAGTGGTCATTGCGCACCGGTTCTGCGGGGACATACCGAGACGGTGGTTCTTAACGATTTTGATCCCGTTAAGAACAGATCCCGTGGGACATGTCACAAGTAAATTCTTAACTTTTCCGTGCTCACGACACAGTTCAAAGAATGAAACCTGACACAATACTACATTACTGATAATTAAGCTGATGTATTGCCGTAGAGGAAAATAATTTAATTTAAATAATGAATAATAAATATTGTCTCCATACTCGACATGGCTACGAACAATTTAAATAAACGTAAATGGGTTAAAATATGTTTAGTACTAACTTCATTCGCGGTCGAACGTTCGCAACAGAATTATTAAGATAGAAGACTCAACGAGAACTTCTCCTTTGTTTTGCAGCCGGTTACATAAGCAGTGGTTGGAGTAGCGGCGGTGGTGGAGGTGGCTGGAAGCTCGGCGGAGGTGGTGGTGGCTGGAGCGGCGGTGGTGGAGGCGGTGGATGGCCTAGTGGCGGCGGCGGTGGATGGAGCGGCGGCGGCGGTGGTGGCGGCGGAAAAATCATCAAGGTGATCACCGTGAGCGGCGGAGGCGGTGGATGGCCTAGTGGCGGCGGCGGCGGATGGTCTGGAGGCGGTGGCGGTGGATGGCCCAGCGGTGGTGGAGGTGGATGGAAAAGCGGCGGTGGAGGCGGTGGATGGAGCGGCGGTGGCGGCGGTGGATGGAGCGGTGGTGGCGGCGGTGGTAAGTTACTTCTATTTAGACCATTGTCTCTCAACGTGGACGATTCACACCTTACTGAATGACATACATTTAAACATTCATAGAACAAAACATGGAATAGTGAAGTTGAACAAATATTAACACATTTCATTAGGGAATTAAAAAGAATTAATTGCAATAGTAAGATGATAATGGAAATAAATTTGGATAGGATTTCTGAATGAAATAGGTTAAAAAATTAAACACCACGATAAACGTTAAATTATCTAACCTTCAGCAATCTCAAAACCAAATTTTAACTTGATAGACATTTTCACGAGTTTTAGTCTGGGCAGCCATCGCGTAAAAATTGTAAATGTAAAATAAAAATGTATATAATACAATCGAAGAATGCCAGGAGATCCAACGCAGTTACGAGCAGAAGTTCGATACAATTTTGGTGAATATTCATAAAATATTCTATTGGTAGACCACGTTTATAAAGATCTACTTGCCAAAATAATATAAAATGGTCTTACTTCAATTTTGTCTTCATATTTTCGTTTGAGCCAAAAAGGTTGACAATCACTTATTTAGATAAAGTGTACAGGGTGATCATGGAAAGTGGGACAAGCTGTAGCTCTTTCCCAAGTACAAGAAATGCTTTCCCGTAATGCAAGAAATTGAAGTTGAATTTTGTATACAACTGTGCCAGTGTCATCATCGTTCATAAATGTATGTGGACACACCTTCAATGAATAACTGATGTACACAGTAGATTATTATTAGAAAATACTTTGCTACCAAATCCTATTTCAGTTGCTTATTTAGTAATATTTAACAATATTAAATCGTGTAATATCGAAATTTCTATAGTATTTATTTCTATAGGTTAGAAGAACTGTAAAATACAATTCAACTAAAGAAATAACATTTCTTAAGTTTCGCCAGTCTTTGTATTTATCGATGGCATACATTGTAACAAAAGTATACGTAATAACGCATAACGTAAAAGTTTCATGAAGAATGTAAGGAACGGGTAATAAAATATTTAAATGTTCATGGTGAAATGTTTGAACACATGCTGTGGTAAAGTAATATCGTAAAATGTATTTTTATCTGTATTTTTATACGCAGTATGTTGAGAAGAAATAAAAAAGTACGTAAAGTTCAAATAAAAAAATCAAATTCATGTGTACATTACATATAAAGAAGAAAAAATTATATCACGAAAGAATAATTCTCGCGTGTACTTAGAAAGTAACTATTGCTTGACCCAATTTTTAGGGCCATCCTGCATTTCACAATTAACAGATATTAAAAATATGTTGTATATGTATATTAAAGATATACAAAATATTATGAGAGTTAAAATATTGACATTATCCTACTACGAACGATAAAATACCCGGTCTAGTAATTACAAGAGTTGCCTAAGTAAAAAATATGACAAAATTAGGTTCACCGCTCATTTGTGTCTCATCAATCTATATTACAATGGCGTAAAAAAGTATTAACTCGGGTCACTTTCTATAAACGTGGTACATTTCCAAGCCACGTTACATAATATTTAAATCTAGATTTACGATCAGTGCGTAATGCCTGCGGAAATAACTGAATTTTGAAATGCTACCACTGACATACATGTCGTAAATTCACAAAGCGAGTTACACTAGAAAGGCCTTTTCGTTAAACACTTTCTTAAGATCTTCTTTACTGGCGAACATTTACATCAAGTCGATGATTTAGTACTAGAAGTATATAAATATTTAAAAAATTACAGAAAAATATTTTATTCTTTTGAAAAATATATTTTCATTACCAGATATCTCCTCTAATTTTTTTTCATAAATGTATCTCAATTATATTTAGAACATTTCTAAAATTATTTTCGAAACTTTTAATTTTTCTTTTTACTCATAGGAATATATGTGAAAAAGATGAATATCATTAAGTTTATTATGGTAATTTACAATATTAAATTCGAGACATAAATTATCTCAAAGGAGCACTTATAGTGAGAGCTACCATTAAACAATAAATCCTTACATAATAATAAGAAACATATAAAGTCCCTACGGTTACGCAATATCATTTTAAAAATACTTTGCAATCGGCGAAAGTGTTCGATGAAAGGTCTAAATAAAATATTCCATCCGGAGGATATGGATTCACTGGACGTCCGCGTTAATATTGATGACCAGTTAATGTAAGCTAATAACTTTCTGCCGAGGATCACTCGAACGTTGGAATACCGGAAAATTAGTTCCGCGGAATCGTTAAATGCAATGCCCCCTTCACGAGGAATAAATAACCGTCGAGCATCTAAATTTACCGCCTGCAGTTTAAATACCAATTAAACAGTTCACGCAGCTTCGATGGAGCGTCGAAACCTCTGATTGGACGGGCACAGAGACGGAAATAAAAATTAGATCGATCCTTCGATTCGCTCGCTTATTAAAGTCTTCGTGCTCTCATATAGATGCACTATTTCTCTTTTTGTTAGTATTTGCATCAGTCTGTTTCGCGGATAAAATAATGAAATTGCTAAGAACTTAAAAATTAAAGATACGTGCATGGTGGAAAAGTCTAAAGTTATTGAATAACATTCTTGGTTTCTGGTAGTGCCAATTGTACAGAGGTATATGGCATAAGAGATTTACTTTTAAAGATTTTTAATATAATTGTAGGAACACTTTGGATAGTGGTATAATACAATTATTTATACTCGAATCAATAACGTATCATTCATAATATGAAAATATAAGGTACATGTACACACTGGTGGCAAGAGGTAATTATAAGGTTTGTATATCCAAATCACATTATTCAGAATAATATACAGAGTGTCCCAGATTCTTACACTAATTCTGGAGCATCCTGTATGAATCTACTCAGAGTTCGAAAAACCCCTAATAATAAAAATGTAAATAATTTTGCGTTTATATTTGACATATATAAAGTATTTACACTTTTTGTCGCTCCACTTTACAATCTTTCTAACTTCCAAAAATGATTTCAAACTCGAAATCGACGTTCCTACAATAATACAATGCCTTTTAGTCCTCTCAAACCATGTATTACATATCATATACAAAAACATCGCATCGTTTGAGCAGTATAAATTATCCGAAACGAGTGCCTGGAAAAACAGGAGGATGTACACAGAGGAATTAGGAGTCATCGTAGTCGATGGCGATTAATTAACGGGATCGTCTCGGCGAGCAACGCGGAAAAACAACTTTTTTTTTTTTTTTGGAGAACAAACAATTGGGACGACGCCGGGCAACAAGCAAATCCTTCGCCCGCCGTCCCCTCTCCGCCGTCGCGAATACTGTTTCCGTGCGTTTGATTAAAGGGGACGCGGGTTAAAAAATAATTAAAAACGACAATCCGCCCACCTCCGCGCTGGATTCTGGGGGACAAAGAGCCGTAAACAAAAGCACCCGGGGACATCGTCCGGTGGAGAGACATACCCCCTCCCCAACCATCGCGATTAACGCACGAAAAATTCTTTTCAGGCTGGTGGTAGAAGACACCAGGGATCCGCGGATAATTAGAAGGAAATTTGCTCACCGATCACCAACGCACATCTTGGCTGTAATCACCGATTGTTGGTTCACGAAGAGACCCTTGACCCGTCCGCTGTACTTCAGGAAGACCGTCTCTCCCTCCTCACGTTCGAAGAACGGAAAAGAACAAAAAAATAACAACCCTGCCATCGCGTCAACCGCCACAGTTTCCCCGTGCGTTTCGCTGAACAAACACAGAGGAGACCCGGGAAGAACAACGGAGATCAACGGCCACAAACGAACGACGCAACGACGTTTTCGAGAGGCTTCCATTCTTCCAGCAATCTAAGCGTCGTCCTCGAGAACGTTCCACGGAAACAGTGGTCTGGATCGACGCGACTCTACCCCTACACACACCCCCTCAGATGTCAGGACAAGAAATCCTCCCTCGCGTGGTTTCGCTTGGATTCGAAATTCCGCGCCACCTTCTCGAAACGCGTGTACATTCGTCCGATACGCCCCCGTTAGGAGGGTACGGGGTCACTCTTCGATGAAACATTTAGCGAATAATACTTTGTAGATTTTGTATAAATTGAAACACGGTTTTTAACCTCTTCTATTACTTTCTTTTTTTGTCTGGCGCAAATTGTTTCGCACACGCACGATCAAAAAAGTGGGAGAAGAACGAGAGGCAGCGCGCAGGATATATATTTTATATATATATATATACATATCTTGCGCTTTGTTTTTTACCTAACATTTACGACGAAACGACGTGCAACAATTAAATCTCATTGACAGAAATCGAACGGTGGTAATGTTTTATTTGTTTTGCCCCGATCCAGCCATGCTCCATCCATTAAGAATATCCCGGTCGCGTGAATATGCATCACACCGTGAATTAAACGGCCGTAAATTCCCGATTTGGCGATCTCCTATCGATTTATGAATCCACGGTCATCTTGCGCGGCCTGGGAAAATTAAAATCGCGAACGGGCGTGGTCGGGTCGCGATATTGCCGAACGAATGGATTTACTATCGCCCGGAGCTTGGCAATAACATTCCACCGGTTACGATATTGCAACGGCGTAAATATCATGGACACGACACGGTACGGAATGATCGACTCTGAAAGTTTTTCAAGCGCGGATAGGGAACGCGACGGTTCCCCTCTGGATCCTCGTTGTACGCGTTTTTCGCAATTTTGCGACCTCGCTATCGTTGCCACGAATCACGATGCGCGACAGTTCGATTGCAGGCCATTTTTAGTATTTACAGAGTGGATTGAAGTAATATGTGACGATAATGACGATGACATCTTGGATGGACATTGGATGAGTGAATCTGTGTGGAGGTGTTGGATGTAATGTTTCATTTGTTTTTTAGAAAGAGTGTAAAAATATTGTTGGAAGAAAAGGGATTTTTAAGCGAAGTAAGATGTACATTGTCGGGATAAGAAACTTTTCTGATTTTTACATATGGGGTATTGTTGCTCTTCAATTTTGTGAATAATCCTGAATTGACGAATTTGCGTATGCATGTAGGTATTTAACTATGCTGACCGTTCTTTAACTTCGTACCAAGGAGTTGTTTATTAAAAAATCATGAAATTTTATATGCACATCCATAA